AAGAGTAATTGTAACTAAAATGAATTAGTTTTAGAAACTAGAGAGCTGTATAGAACAAGAGTAATTGTAACTAAAATGAATTAGTTTTAGAAACTAGAGAGCTGTATAGGCGTGGTGTATACTTATTATAACAAAGATTGGTATGTCCCCTTTTTACTAAAAGTCTCCTTTTTGAGAGTAAAACCATTAGTAAAACTGCGAAGGTTAAAATTTGGAATTAGATTGCTAAGGCCATCCAAAGTTTGAATTAATGTCCGTACCATATATCCCATTGCCTCTCAAATATATGATCTTGCAACACTTAATATTGGAACTTAGAAGTTAGAAAAGTGTGCGAGACAAGCTCTATTGTAGGGTACACATCCAACCCCTCAACTTTAATAGGTAAAGAAGCTACACTCCATTGAAGGTCATCGAAGAAAGTATCTCCACCAACCACGATGTCTTCAACTGCTCTTCACAACTCTTAATGTCTTTTTTATATGATTAGGTTGACACGGTCTAAAGGTAAAAAAGAGTTTGGCGATACCTATACAAGAATTGAGTAGAAGAACTATGAGGATCCCTTAGTATGGTAGAAGATGCACGAGCTCAACATCCTTGGTCGCTCTCTTCATAGACAACCCCCAAGTAAAGCTTTCATCTCGACTAACATCACATCCAAGCAATTTCATCCCCAAAATCTGCCTCCCAAATGTCTGAAGGAAACAACTCCCCACGAAGTTTACTATCATCACACGAAGGCCAAAAAGATCTCGATTTTATGCATATTTAATTCAAGACCTAATCCTGAACCGATCTCTCGAATGATGTTGAGGACATTAGCCACCTCCTCTGATTCTCCTATGATGCTCCCATCATCAAGATACCAAGCATGAACAAGAAGCTTACCGTTGTCACTGATTTGGTGAATAAGTGGGTGTAACACAAGGGCAAAAAGAAGTGGCTCTAACGAGTCACCTTGTTGCAATCCAGTGGCTGACATGATGCCCATCCCTAAGGTATAACTGCTTGGCCATAGAGAAACTCAACCCACAAAGAAATAGACGGGCATCTCACCCTAACCTCTCGCAGAATGGCTGATCGATCTACTAGGTTAAAAACATTCGTGAAATCTACCGTGAGCATAGTCAAAGAGCCATCACCATGTCTCTTGCTCAACACCCTATTGACAATGTGTAAAATCACCTCAACACCACTCGATACCCCAACTCCAAACTGGAAGTCGTTAAGATATCGTGCCACATCTTTACTGACCCATTTCATTGCAACGTTGGATACCAATTGTCTCCAAATAGAACCCATAGTAGTTGGTCGTATCCCACCATCAGGCTTCAATAACGACATCAATGGTGTTGAAGCAACAAACTCAACCAAAATCATCAGGCATCTCCCTCCCAATCATAGGTTAACAACTTGAGTGATCACACATAAAAGATTTCTAGACACATCAGAACCTTCTTCATTCATTGCGTCCAATAAATGTTGAGCTCATAAACCATCCATACCACATGAAGTCCCTTTGAGGAATGACTCAATGCACCCGAAGACAATATCAACTTCAACCACTAAATGAGCTTCAGAGAACAAAGTGGTTGGCATGGAGGGGAGGTAGTTTGTACGAGTGTTTAGTCTCCAAAGCCTTCATAGTATGTGCATTACAATGGGCTACACCAGACGACCCCATCACTTTCGCAGCCACTGTGAAGTGACCATCTGCAACCTTAAGAAGGCATTGCTTAGCATTAGAGCTCATATTTGCATCTTTCTCCTAAATATGAACTCCCTTAACTTATCTTGCTCAGAGTTGCCCAACACACTATCAACTAACTTGACAAGACCATCTGCATCCCTCCAAGTAGATAAACGCTACAAAATGTGACGTTGTTGCAAGGCTTTTCGATTCTCAGACTTGCGATCTTGCCTATTATGAGGCTTGACCACTTGTAAAGTGCAATGAGGAAGAAATAACAACCGAACCCAAACACCTACAGATCCCAACTCAACAACCACCGTGAGGAGCACATCTTTTAATGCCTGTGAGAAAGCAAGGTGACATTTAAGAGGTACGCACTTTACAATGAAGATAGGTGTTGTGAAGACTCTCCTTAACAACCTTACGTCTAATACAATCTCCTCATTTGCACCAAGGTTATCAGAGTCTATTGCAGACGGTTTTACAACACTCATAATGAGACTTCCGACCTCCCTTGTTCCAAGAGTAACCCAACCAGACCATTAGGATGATGACATACCTGATTCATGGCATGAATGCTTATGCACCTTCTACATATCCATTGTCCAACTCCCCTTAAAGTCTTCTCGAATGCTATAAACAAATATGGATCACTCTCAATATTAATATCCAAAAAAAACTTCAATAAAATGATGAAATATCTAAAGTAATATTTTAAAAATAATTATACAAACTAAATTTTCATTTGAAGCTTTTATAAAAAATTTCTTTATAAATTATTTTACACAAAATTATGTTACACTATTAAAATCAATTAAGAAAAACTCAACCAACGAGCCCATAATTTCTAAGACAAGAAAATCTCATTCTTCTATACACTGAAATCTAAATATAAAGATGTAGTACAAGGAACTGAAAAATAATAATTTTGTAATTAAAAAAAGAAGAACATAATTACCTCCTTGGTCCAGTTAGTCCTATAAATAATGACTATGAGGACTAAAATCTGAAGAGTTATGCCACACATTCTGCCTCCCCATAGATCCTATCCACAAAGATGTAAATTTTCATGACATGAAAATTATATGATAGAGAAGTTTATTGATGATTTAATGAAGATTCATTTTCTAGAACAAGAATAATTGTATACCTTGACCCCTAAATGCTGGTGGAAACCAAGAAAAATTCCAATAGAGAGTCCAACAATGTAATAACATGCCAAGTTTATGTAACCAACCATAACTTGCCATCCACATCCAATAACCACACCTATATATAAGATGCAAAATTATCAAAAGCTATTAAAATGTAACTTTTTTCTATTCACAAAAGAAAATAATTAATCACCTGATATAATTTGTGAAACAGTGTTGAGAATCATGCTTATACCAAGAAGGTATGCTAGTTCACTAGCAGCATGTATCATCTCCTCACTCTTGGTAAAGATCAATCCAAATTTGTCTTTACTCAAGAAAATCACAGTCATGAAAATGGTTCCAAGGAGAAGAGACTGAAACATTGTCACCAAAAAAGAGTATTTGGCTTTTCTTGGATGCGACATGCCGAGTGAATTGGACACACGAACACTTGCAAAACATTAAAATCAATCAATAATTAGTGCGAGCATTGAAAAATACATGGGAAAAAAAATATAAAATACTTTCATCAAAGTCGTTTTAAGTTTTTAAAAGTTTAAAAAAATACATGGAAAAAAATATAAAATGCTTTCATTAGAGTCATTTTAAGTTTTTGAAAGCTCTATATAGGTTAGCGTGACAGATTTTAAACCTTAAATAGTAGTCTGCTTTGCACGCCCTTAAAGACGATATTGACTTTCAATAGATTTTACTACAAGTTCTTCTGGAATAAGTTTAATTTACCGTCACTCACCTTAGTGCTATACTTACTCCAACAAGCAACGCCGTGTACCAACTCTGAATATTAAGGCTACAGATAAATAAATATGAATTGAAAATTAAGAAACAAAGTATCAATAGCTCATAAAAATATATAAATATTTTGACGGTCACAATATTTATATCACTCTTTGCTTTTAAATTTTACAAATATACAACTTTTATTTCTGGTCATTGTTTTTTTTACTTTAAATGACATTGACACTACATTTTTATTCAAAACTATTGTTAAATAGTTTGAAGAAACGTCAGGAGCAACGCTCAAGATTCTAATAGGCATTGACACAGCATTGTTATCTTAAATTCATAAGACTTTTAAATAAAGATGTGGCGACAAATTCTCCTGAGATCTTGAACGTTTATAGTAAATTTCTGTTTACCATGCTTAAAACAAAATTGATTATTATAATATACTTACCAAATAGAATAGGAACCAACATCAATGATAGGATTATCAAGATGACCAGCAAGTAGCATAGTGCAAACAGAATACCATTGTTCTAAGCAGATCATTACACATGAACCAATACTTAGTTTAACAAATTTCCACAATTCCCTAAAAGCCATCCAAGAGAATCCATTCCATCCTTCTTTACACCACACAATGGTATAAATTACCAATGCACCAGAAAATACCCATCCTGAGATATTACTTGCCATTGCCAAACCAATTATTCCCCAATCAAATACTTTGATGAAGGTATATAGTAAACCATTTTGTATTAGCAATGTCATGATTGCTATGTACATAATAACATTAACTTTGCTTCGTGATTGAAGATATTTCATGAGAGGTAAATTAATAGCATAGGAAAACATAAGCGGAATGACTAGAATTGCATATTTTCCAGCTAGATTAGCAATTTCTTTTTCTTGGCCAAGAAGTTTCAAGATTGGAGTTGCAAATATATTAAGTGGTAAAAATAGTATGCAAGTGGTTATGAGTAGAATCCATGACCTTTGAAGGTAAATACCAGCCTTTTAAAACTGTCCTGCACCATAAGCTTTGCCCACATAGTGTTGTTAATGCATTTGACATACCATACTGCAATTTTACATGAGTAGATTTCATTTCACAACTCAATCTAGTTTTTAAAAATCATCTACTACGTGCTAGTTGAATTAAATGAGTATAAACGGTTAATATAAGATTTAATTTTTGTCGGCAATATTTATTTATATTTATGTATTAATATAAACAAATCATTATTATTTATGAATCTACAATTTAAAAAAAAAAAAAAAGTAAAAGAAAAAAGATAAAAACTTTGGATGAATGAGAGTGAGTAACTAACCAGCAAAGCCAATACGATAGAACCGATAACATTTTGACAGATAGAGAAAGAAGATAGTTCAATGTCTCCAAGATGACCAGCATAGGTAGAAGTTTAAGGGTTATTGAGAAACTGAAAAAGTAAAGACAAAGCCACTGGAATTGCTATCTTCCATATTTTCAATGTTTCACTCCACAAAACATGTTTCAAATCCTTCAAGCTTTTCACTGCTAAATAATCATTTTCTGAAGTGAAGCTTTGTATTACCAAAGGTGTTTCCATATCATTGAGATTCTTAGACTAAAAAAGAAATGCATATAGTATAGTACTTATATGCTAGATTTAGACTTTGCTTTTTTGAGAAATGTAATTTTGTCTTTATTATGGATGATGTCACATATTTTTGTTAAATGAAAGACAATCACATGTTTTTTCTAGACCTTCTGTCTCACCATATCATAGTCATCCATCCTATTAGAATTTGACTTAACACAACCTAACAAAACCAGTTGGTAAGGTGAGAGGTGCCACTCTATATATGCTCTATCTCCAACCAATGTGGGATTTAGGATCTTCATAATACACCTCCTCACGTCCAACACTCTTTTTTGGATTTGGTGCGTGGATTTTTAAACGGTGGGCTGCCCAAGGTCCGATCGATAGACTCTGATACCATATTAGAGTTTGACCTAACACAACCTTACAAAACCGGTTGGTAAGGTGAGGGGTGCCACTCTATATATGCTCTATCTCCAACCAATGTGAGACTTTAAGATCTTTCTAATACATGCCAACCACCATAAAAGTTAAGGAGCGGGGTGTATGGTAAATTATGCACTTTTGAATTCATCAAATGGACCGAAATTTCTATAAAGTTGGTCTATTTTTGAATGGTAGGTACATCTCAATGTCATTTTACAATTTCTTTATATAAAGTTTTTGAATTTGTTTAGTCATTATAAGGTATTTTAGTTTTGCTATTTGTCTAGTTTTATATATTATTGTATATTTGCTCATATATTTTAAATGGAGTGCAATGCATTCAATGGTATTTTATATTAAATTGTATTTTGTATGCATTAAATCGAACTCTAAGATAAAAATCGTTGCAAGTGATTTAATTTAAATTAATCGATTATTTGGGTAAAGAAATAAATGAATGAATAACTTCTATTACAATAGCTTTTGATTTAATATTACACTTCAATCATCTTAAATTTCAAATTTTGGAAGTGTGATTCGATTCACGATTATGGATGATTCGAATAAAAAATTGAATGTGAAAAAAAGATTTTGTCATAACGAGTGTGATTCAAATCACAAGTTTCTTTGACTCGAATTAAAGGCAATCTTGATCCGAATCAAGCTATAGGCTGTCTCGAACCAAAATACATTTCAAAATTATGATTTCAGTTATGTCAATCTGATTCGAATCAAGGATTGTCATGAGTCGAATCACGATTCTAATCAAAGTGTCAAAATTATGGATTTTAAAGTTCTTGACTCAAGTCATTCATTTGACTTGAACCACACAAACCGCACTTGACTCGGATCAATGAGTATTTTTGTTCATTTATAGTGCTCTATCTTAAGAACACATAAATCATCTCGTGTCATTGTTTAGAGAGATATGATTACTAATAACACATAACTTTGAGAATTTTCAAAATAGAGTGTTTACCTTTCAAAGTATGCAAAATCATAATATTCATTTGAAATTGCATTCATCCTCAACCTCTAAGATATCATGAATTGGTTAATCCTTAACTCTTAGAGAGAGTGAGATTTATCATAAAGGATGATTTTTTATTTTTTATTTTTTATCATTGATGTTTGTGAAGTTCTTGAAGTGCAGGTCAATATTAGAATTGTGTGGTGTTGTTGAAAATTGACAATCTAATAGGAGGAAAAAGAAATGATTTTTTCTCCATCGACGTAGTTGGAAGTTTCTGTCTCGTAAGATTGAACTAGGAGCTTAGTCAAGAGGCCGATAGGATCGAGGAAAGATTGCTATACAATGGATGCTTGTAGTGGATCTTGGATCTAAGTAAGGGGACAATCCAAATTGAGTGAAGATATTGGAAAATTCTACTGTGTGGGCTGTGTACAACAGATGAAAAAAAATTTAGATTGAAACTGTTATTAATTTTTAATTTTAACATATGATTCCTTGATTGTATGAAATACACATTGTATAATTGTTAAAATAGCGGAAGATTATGAATTTTTAATGGTTTGTCAATGTAGACGAGATTAAGCGCAAAGAGAGGCCGAACGTGCTCAACCAATATAAATTATGGTGAAATCTTCTCTTTCCATGTCTCTTTTAAATTTTATGTATAGAATTGCATCTTTAGGCTATTGTAGTTTTTCTTAGAAATAACATGTAGTAAAGTTTATTTTGTTCATTGCGATTTATTGTATAAAATTTAGGTTTGATAGTGATTAAGTAATCCAAATTATCTCTCACTACTAGAAAAAATACATTTAATCTCGATTAGATATGAGGTGATACCTTAATTTCAAATACGAGATAACAAAGGACTTTATAAAAAATGCACACTTTACCTCTCAGTTGAAACTCCATCGAGAAAAAAGGTAGAACTTGTAATGAGTTCAATCCTTAACAACTGCTTATTCGTTTTTTTAAAGGCGTTACTTTACCTCTCGGTTATTATTATAACCGAGGGAATAATAATATATATATATACACACACACACACACACACACACACACATTGTTTTATTAATATATAAAGTTTCTTATTTTATTTTGTTTTCGTTTCAATCTACAAGTACAAATGTTTGACAAATTCTAAATTTGATTCATCATTATAATTGTCAATCTCAGGTGAAAATCAAATTCTGAAGCGTCGTTTAATTGAATCTTCGGAAAGATCAAATTTAGATATTGCATGCATTTATTTCTGATATAAAATAAAAAAGGATTAGATAAATAAAATAAAATTTCAGTTACATGATAAGAGTTTATGTAAGAAAGTCAACCTTAAACCAATTTTTTTCAAATTTCTTTAAGTTTCACTTTTTTCATCACAAATTCTTTCATTATCAATGTTTGAGTTTCACAGCGTAACATCCTAGATGTATAGTGGTGGTGTTCGTCTTTTGGTTGTAAGTAAAGGGTTTCTTATGGATTGATGTGTTGACAATATCTTGAGCGTTGTTACTTTATAAATGGACGACAAATATATATTGAGACAAAATTGAATTACTTTTTCCTGCGATTTTGATCTAAAATCGAGGGCAAATATTATTTATTTTAAAATAAAAAATAAACTAAAATAAGGACTTTTCCCCTTGGTTCCTAAATCAACCGAGGTAGTAAATTACATCTATTTTAAGCAAAATGGTGAATGAAAAAAATTGAAAGAAACATGTATTGTTTCTTTTTTCAATTTTTTTTACCATTCACCAATTTTTGTATGTGTTGCATTAATCAAACAACAGGCCATATTCAAAACAAATTGCAGTATGATTAGGAATAAATTTTTCAATGTTGTCAACTGAAGAAAGCAATATATTTCAGAATATTTTCTTTGGTTGATAACATTGGGTAGTTACTATAAAATATAACAATGTTTTCTTTTACCATTCAACATTGGCAAGAGGTGGAAACACCACCACCACCACCACTAATAACAAAAACAAAACCATTATGTGAGATAGATTTCAAGAACCAAAATATGATTTGTTGAAGGTGGGTGTTAGAAGAAAAACAACACATAACCAAATAATTTTTCTATCTTGAAATCCATCCCAAAGAATAATGTTTACGAGTATGAAGCGACTTTATACATGATTTGGGTTTAGGGTAAAAATTAGTGAGCGAATCCTTTAATAGTTAAATTTAGGCAGCATTACACCTCGGTTATTAGAGAAATCGATGGAATAGATTATTTAGTAATTAAATAAAAACTAAAATAAAAAGAAGTGTAGTTGTTGGGATTCGAAGCATGTACCCTGAATTAGTTTACCCCTCGCGTCATACACTAAATTTTGACCACAAGACTTCACACCATTGTGAAAATCATCACCATAATATGGGTGTAGTTTCATACCTCACCAATATTCTTAAAGATTGTTGAGTATTCACCTTAACCAAGGATTAGAGTTTTGAGCCCTCTCAGAGCATTCAGGCAAGGGATCAATCAAGAATTTACATGATCTTCAACTTGTCAAGCCTATCAAACATCCATGAAGGATCAAAATATCCTTCCCATCAAGAATTTAACACAAGATTGCACCATTCCAAGTTAATCAAGCCTCAAGACCATCAGTGTCACCAAATTAGGGTTTTGATCGACTAAGGCTTTCAAAGAGAAATTTTCATCTGGGCATGAGCCAATACTTCAATACATGATTCAAGAAGCTCAAAAGAACCCCATGAATCCATTCCTAAGTTCAAAATAGCCTCAGGGGTTTGCATCTATCCAAAATCAGGAATTAGGGTTTTGACCTAATTCAACCTATAGGTTGTTGACTTTTGAAGTAAGGCATGATCCAAGACCTCAATATATGTTTCAAGGACCTCAAACAAATAATATTGATCTATTCATAAGATTGGATTGATTCAAAGAACTTGATTCATAAGCAATACAAGGATTCAAATTCATCTGGATCACGAACCAGGGTTCATGAAAAAAGTCAACCATACCTTTGACTTTTGACCAAGACATGATCTCAAACCTTGGGACATGATTCAAGACACTCAAAAAAACCTTTGGAATCCATCCATTAGGTTCAATTTAGCAAAAGGACTTGATTTCATAAAGGATCACCAAGTTCAAAATTCATCTGCTATAAAAAGTCAATTGTGATCAAAACCAAGTGTGACTTTTGGATTTTTTTGGAAAACATGGCCTCTTTAAGTTAATACAAATGTTAACTTATGATTTGTATCATGATCAATCAAGAAAAATCAATAAAAGTGAGATTACTTGCAAAAAGGGCAACCTTGAGAAACTTAAAATTTCACTAAGTTATGGAAAGAACATGGTTTTTACCCAACTTTGCAAGGCCATAACTTGTGATCTAAGCAACCATTTTCTCCCATACAAAGCTCAAATTACATATATTCTTACATAAAACAAGATTGCAAATCTGAAGTACCCCAAAAAAATGCCTAGATTTTGAGATATGAAACATTAAAGTTAGGGTTTCATGAGATTTGAAACTTTGACACTTAGAAATTTCTAGGCAGAACCTGCCTCATGTTCTGCCCAACTTTGGAGGCCTTTTTCATTATGATCCAAGATGAATCA